CCCAAAAACTCAAATATCATAAAAAACGGTCCAGCCGTTCTAGAGTTTTAAATGATGTATCTTACACCACTTTTTTAATATTTAAATAAGATAAGCACTTGAGAAGCCTATTTAGTTTACAACTAGAAGTCGGGCCGCGAAGTATTGGTACCATGGAGTTTCAATGAACTAAAACCTTATTTACTTATTACTTCAATTTTCTTTGATTGAATTTCTATGCTAGTTTGAAGTTTTATTTTGTTACTATTTGATAAATATTGTAGAGTTGTATTGGTATTGGCAATAATACTTTATACTTTGATTTTCACCCATTCAGATTTTAGTAAGGAATACGGTACAGCGCCCCTAGAGGAAACTACCAAGAACTACAAATCTCCATACAAATTCTTAACGCGCTCATTTAGGAACGCGTTAGCGTAAAACTTACACTTATCACTCTGTTCAACTCTTACTGAATCTAATACTCTTATTTTATAGAATAGCAAAGGAATCATTTTGTATAATCATTAAATTATATTTATAAATTACAGGTAGGGCTATGACTTAACTATGTCATTTTTTACTTTTTGGAACGAGATACATAGATCATAATCAAATCATTAACGGATATATCGAAATATTACAAGTGGCACCATCTATTAAAGTTATCCACAGTCTCATACTTATATCTTTCTATTACATACAACTCGTGTGTCCAACTGTGCTACGGTGAAAGGCAAGCTTGCTACACTGCTCCGACTTGTTTCGCCTCAAATTTGATGTTTAATAAAATGATATCTTTTAACTACAGATGGCGCTGATTATGTAGACTATTTTATGTTAAGAATTAATATTATAAATATTTTTATTAGAATTCCGTACCATAAAATGTAATTAGATCACTTCACAGACAGATCTACAGATCACAGACAGTCTATCAAATACATGAGTGGTCCAAAGACAGCCGAATTTGAAAAATGGCTACCTCTTTTGGGGGTAAATTAAAAGGCAGTATAATTTAACATATCAAACGAAAGAGTTTATTGACGTATTTTAAGGTAAAGCTTTATAGTAAATGTTTTTGATTTGTGTCGATAATTTTCATATTTTAAATTAGTATAATGTTAATGAAAGTTTTTGTTTGTGGGTGATACTTCTCTTGCATAAACGTCCATTTAGATTGTCATTAGTTTAAAGCGACATTACCCATAGATATTTTCAAATTTAGAACATTCATTAGACCTTTTTTTGACATGATATGTCTTTTGTCTCCTTCTTAATTCTTTTGTCTCTGATTTATTCCTCAACATAAGTTACACAGCAATCATATATTAACGATTATTGAAAGTCTCTAGAATTCCAAATTCAAATTTATACAACCATTTACACATGTATTTGTGTTTCGTTAGGCGGCATTCATTTGGTTTTTTTTTCTTCTGTTTGTCCTATTTACGTCACCCGGTATAAAAAATAGAAAACTTGAAATATCGTGTTATTTCTGAGTACGAGTTCCACCGTGGTACCAGTGCTGTGGAAACGGCTCGAAGGGTTAATGATGTGTATAGCGGTTGTGTCGCAAAAGAAAACACAGTGCGTTTTTGGTTCCAACGTTTTCGTTCTGGAAATTTCGACCTGCAGAACAAGCCCCGTGGACGGCCGGAGACCCGAGAGAATAATGAAGAATTGAAGGCTATTGTGGGAGCGGATCCATCGCAAACCACGTCCGAGTTAGCTGCAGGCTGCGGTGTTAGCGATAAAACTGTTTTAATCCACTTGAAGCAAATTGGAAAGATTAAGAAGCTTGCAAGATGGGTACCTCACGAATTGAGTGAAGCAAACCGGTCAACGCGCTTCGACTGCTGCGTTACATTAATTAGCCGGCGCAGTAATGAAGGGATTTTAAATTGAATCATTACCTGTGATGAAAAGTGGATTCTCAACGATAATCGGAAGCGCTCATCGCAATGGTTGAACCCTGGCAAGCCAGCCAAATCCTGACCCAGTTACTTGTAAGCGTTTGGTGGACTAGTGCCAATGTCGTTCATTACAGTTTTCTCAAATCCGGCCAGACGATTACGGCAGACGTCTATTGTCAGAAATTGCAAACCACGCTGGAAAAACTAGCTGTTAAACAACCGAGGCTGGTCAATCGCTCTATTCCACTGCTACTTCACGACAACGCTAGACCACACACTGCACAACAGACGGCTACCAAATTAGAAAAGCATCAATTGGAATGTCTAAGATATCCACCGTACTCCCCGGACCTTGCTCCAACAGATAACCATTTTTTTTTTCGAAATTTGGATAACTCCTTGCCAACTAAGGGTAAAAATTCAACTCCGATGGGGCAGTGCAAATCGCCTTCAAAGATTTTATTGATTCCCGTCCGAATGGTTTTTTTAGTAAGGGGATCAATGAACTACCCATGAGATGGCAAAAGTGCATAGATAACAATGGTTTATACTTTGATTAAATAAATATATTATATTAAAAAATATTCGATTTTTCGTTCCTCCCATACCAAACACCAACTTCATATGTACCTAATATTATTTTTGTAGTTAGTTTCAGTTCAGTTTTTTTTTCACATTAACTGGAAATGTTTTAAAGTAATTTTAATTATTTATTTTCTTATTAAATTTGTCATTAAAATATGAGATCAATTAATTAATAAGATTCAATTATTTTTTATGAACAGCAATTGCTACCGATAAGTTACCTCAATATATGAAATTTCTCCAGTTGATTTTTAAAATCAACCAGCCAACCTATAAAAAATGAAGTTTTAAAATCAAGTAGGAAAAGACAAATTTGTATAATATGACGTGGTGTTGACTGTACATACCAGGGTGGTCCTGAGACGACCTGAGTATTTTCGGGATAATTAGCATCGTGAATATAAAGTTCATTAAAATAGTGAGTTATTTTAGTAAATAGGCTAAAAGCGCGTTGCCGGCCTTTGAGGGACGAATATAATCATAGGGAGGGAAGGGTTGAGGAGTAGAGGGAAGGGAATAGGGAGGGGTTGGGCCTTCGGTACCCTCACTCACACGACGAAACACAACGCAAACGTTGCTTCACGTCGATTTTCTGTGAGGCTGTGGTATCACTCCGGTCGAGCCGGCCCATTCATGCCGGAGCGTGGCATTTGAATTGAGCTATTGTATTAAATTATGCATATATTAATAATAAAATTTTATCATCAAAATGTCAACATTTATTTTCTGAGATAGTTGATTGACGTGCTTATTTTCTATAGAAAATACGTATTTACTATAAAAAGTTATATTATTTGAATATGGCATTGTCTTTAATGAAAGTATTTGCTTGTTCTTAAAAATTCGACCATTATTGCTGGAATGTTAACTTGCTCGAGGTTTATTAAAAATTCAGTACGTGAAAAACTTCTATTTTCAATCGGTTTTGTACAAAGAAATGACATTCAAATAAGCTGTAATTAAATATGAAAAAACTACTTACTTCACATTTCAAAGGGGTTTTTTTGCAGTCAAAACGTGAATTAACACAATTTTCTCGAAAAACAGAATTACAAGAATTTTCATTTTTTCCATTTCTCATAATTATATTCTTTTTAAAGGGTTTAAGTTAAATTTTAATTCTCAGCCTGTATGCTAGACCTAAACACAAAAGTTTATAATAACTCATAGTTTAAAACAAGAGTAGATTGACGAGAATAATTAAAAATAAAAAAAAATACTTTTTGATATTATTCTATCGAATTTTACAAATTACCCTTGCAAATAAGATGTAGATAGCATAATAAGGTAGAGGTAATAACAGCATATTTGGTGCTTATTTATTGATACAAAACCAAATATTTTTTGCCTGTCCGTCAGGTAGATTTATTAAGAACTAACCCTCCGCCAGCGGCATCGCAGTTTTGAGTCCAGAAATGAGAAAATTCCATAAAAACTTTCAGAGGGGTTTCACCCCCATGGGGGTTGAATTTCATGAAATCCCGTCTTAGTGAGCACCTACGTCCTATAAAGAATCCGCAAGCAAAATTTGTAACTCCTAGCACTTGTAGTTTCTGAGATTTCGTGATGAGTGAGTGACCTTTCGCTTTTATGTATATATAGATATAAAAACAAGTATTTTTTTTTATTTTTTTGCATAATCAATAAGTGAAACATTGAGTTACAAAATGTCAGATGACTTTACGCTTTTATATATCCATTTTCTACAAAGCTGTGATTTAGCGAGCCCCTACTCTTTAACTTTAATGCCTGTAAGGTACTCAACTTATGTTAAATTGAGGCAAAAAAATAAAAATGCGTGTCTAATATTTCCTAAAGTAGCTCAGTAACGTAGTCGATAAGCGCCGCGGCCGGCGATTGTTGTTATTAAGCAACTTTCTCAAGTTCACGTGACGAAGCACGCTTCGGAAGGGACGTTAAGCCATTGGCCCCGGCTGCATTTGCAGTCGTTAATACCTTCTAATCCTCATTGGGATCCCATCCAGCGGAGAGGAATGGCCCATCTTCTTTTCATAATGAAGGCCTAAGCTCCTACCTACAATGGGAACCTAAAAGGGCTGATGATGAGTATATTTCTATTGTCTGATTTACGGAGTTAATAGAATTTCTTTTTTTTTACCCAGGCATATTATCTATTGAAAGATGTTTCCGATGTACGCTCGCTTTCCCCAGTCAGTTCTTCAGGACTGTCTTCCTGCGGCATGTATCAATAATAGTAACTTTTTTTCGTTTCTATCTCGTAAAATCTATTAAAATATAAATAATAACTGGAAAGCTTCGTTTTATAAATTATTGATTGTTATTTTTGGTGATGCTTGGCATTATAATAGACCCAAATTACAACCTTTTATGGTGTTAATAAATAAACATTTAGTTGCACAAACGTCCATTATTGTTAAATGACGCCTTTAAAGTCTAATGAATGTCAAATTATTAAGGGTTTTGCTCTTTAAACTAATGACAATTTTAATGAACGTTTGTGCAACTGGTAGAAAGTATGGAATAATTAAACAAAATTTTATTACAAAAAATATAATTTATTATCAAAAACAAAAATACAAATTACCATTTGTCAGTTTTTACATTATCTCTCAGCGGACTATCACGCACAAGAACCATTTTGTATACTTTATACTTAATACTAAGTTTACTAGTGTAACGTTAAAGTACTGTCAGACACAGTGTATGTACAGGGACGGCCGCACGGGCCACAGTTCACAACTAGACACGACACTCACACGCGTTCTACTGTACCCCGATCCTTCGGGATTATGGCCTGGACTCGGAACGCATACGGTGGCGAATCGAACCTGACGCACACTAACGATTTTAATCGATACGAGTCATCGAAAATTTATAAACAATAGCGAATATCTTAATTTCGTTCAAAAAACGGATAATCGATTAAAGTCGACAGAGTACGGTCGGTCTCATCTAGCTCGACCGTTATGAACTAACTAGAACTGAATGCCGTGTCCTCTAAGGAAGGCGTCGATTTGCCCGGAGGACGCGGATTCCCCGCGCGGCGCCACGTAGTAGTACTGAGGGGACGCCACCGCGCGCTGCGGCGCCTGCGCCTGCGACGACAGTGCTAGTCTCTGCGCCTGTGCGCGGGCCGCCGCACGGTCACGCTGTAGCTGGGTCTGTTGCAGCTGCTGCTGCTGAGCGAACAACTGCTGTGAGTTTTGGAACTGGTTCTCAGCCTGCTGTCTCTGGTATACTTCCTGGGGATTTGCATGCTGAATCTGGTGTCTAAACAGAGGCACACTGGCTGGAGAAGACGGTACCGAGGGTATCTGTGGAGATGGAACGAACGGTCTTGCCGAAGGTTGCTGTTGAGCGACGTACGGCTGCAGACGTTGGTTCAAATTCAATTCACCCTTGGTCTGCGGCAGCGTTTGGAACAGTTGTGTGTTGTACGAGCCGCTTGAAGGATCGTAGACCAGTTCAGTCGAGTAGAGAGGGTTTCCGCTTGGCGCCGGGGATGCGGCGGTAGATTTCGATGGTGTCACAGACGGAGCGGTCGAAGATTGTAGCTGGTTCTCGCGGTGGAACTTGGCAAACTCGGCAGCGAAGTCGATCTGACCGGGTCGGGAGGTGGTGATCAGAGGTGCCGGGGAGGGAGAGTAGCTCGGAGCGGGGGAAGGCGCGTAACTCGGTTCCGGGCTGTACTGAATCTGAGGTTTCGCGGTCACCTGGACGATCTGCGGTCTGAAGGTTGTCGCCGGTGGCAAAGCCCGGGGTGTTGTGACGGGGAGAGGACGAGGTGTGATAGCGATCTGTTGCGCCTGGTAAGCCGGTCTTCTAATAGCGGGTCGCTGCACAACTCTCTGTCTGATGTGCTGGAGAGGTTCTTCTTCAACTTCGTCCTCGTCGGCGTCTCTGAAGTCGTTTTGGAAGTAAGTAGTGGTCGGTCGAGGTGTCGTAGGTCTGTGGACGGTTCTGACAGGGTAATTAGGTTCGGGGTCGTCTCTTTCGGCAGAGTCAGGGGCGGGAACGTCTTGCTCCTCCTCGTCGGGTTTGTTGGGGTCACAAGGGTTGCCGGATACGTATGTGAATTCCCTTTTGTTGCCGTCGGGGTCTATGTAGCCGTACTTGCCGCGGACCACGCAGTCAGTGCCTCTGGTCTCTTCCTTGAAAGAACCGTCGGCGGCTTCGTAGCCGAATGTGAAACTGCCGTCATCGTTCACCTGAAAATGTAGAAATAACATATTTTGATTATAGTTTAAGCATCAAATATTCGATCAAAATCTAAGGGATAAGATTGATAACATCGTTGCAATATTAGCATTGTATATATAATTTCGTTATCTAATCGTCAAGTGTACTGACCTTGTTGTAGTTCCTGATGGTTTGGACCGGCGGTTGCTTAGGACCTTCCTGTATCTGTGACTGCTTGGTCCTGGCTGGTGCACGCTGGAGAGCTCTCGGTTCGTATTCATCGTCCAGGCGGTCGGTAGCTCTGTACAATGTGTCATACGCATCAGCTGGCACTAAAACCACCTGTAAATAAGATAGAAGCATAATAAGAATTAAATAATATAACTCAGTAAGTTAAACAAATCTCTAAGATTTGTCTATTTGGTTTTAAATGGTAATACATCGCTTGTAGACGTTATATTTCATTGTGGTAATTTAACATTACACTGTCACCTTTTTTTGTTAGTGCATGAGGCAATGCATCTGATGCCCGAATCTGGGCTTGCCAATCAATAAGACCTGCCTTAAGGGGCGAAGTCAAAGTGTGATTGACTTGCCTGATAAAATACACTGTGGAACAAAGACCCGAAATCAAGCTTGGAGGGCACAGGACCGAACACCACTTTGGGATCCCTATGTCTGGGGACCCCTCTGTGGTACGATTTTTCCGGACAGCGGAGCTTCCCGCTAATGTGATCCATGTGCTTTGTGTACTTTGACAGCTTTGTTAATAGGAAATATTTCCTCAGTGTAGATGGTAAAACTTGTTGATGCCGTAAATAAATAATTTTTCCGAACATTTAGAACAGAATGATTCCCTTTATTCCATTCGTTATTGGAAAATATTACTCTTTCTCATTATAAATTCAAGAAATATTTCATTCCTATCATGCTCAATGTTGCTTCACTCTTCGGCCCACTACTCTGCGACTGTTGAAGTGTTTAGTATATGGATAGTAAAAAATGTTTAGTACATGCATAATAGTGCAGCAATCTAGCAAAAAAAGTTACAGATATATGTCTTTTTTTGTGTATTATAATTATAAAATCGCAATAACCTGGTCACCGGCAGCTCTCTGCTGTCCTTGCGGCTCGTAATCGTATTCCTCGATCGGTTGTTGCAGGCGTGGGCGGGGCCGCGCACCACCCACCATCCCTGTCGCTAGCACCACACATAGCACCTGCACGAAAGAAAACATATTTGGTTAGAATGTAAAAATAACTTATAACACCAATTAATTGACAATGCATCCGCGCAATGAACCAAAGCTGGTTTTCCATACGTGATTATATGGACTGTTCTCTATAGGTGTTCCTTTAAAGTTCTTGTTTATCTATTACGATTTTGTCATATGCCAATACCCGTTTAAAGTAGTTAATTATTACAAAACTTACATCAATTAAGTGAATGTCATTAATCACGATCCGCTGCAAGTGTTAAAAAGTGTCGTCAGTATATAATTTTGTAATTTTAATTGCTCGTAATTATTTTAAAGAGCACCTACTTAAGAAACGTCTATAATAAGTATAGAAACTTTGCAGTTTCGACATATTAGTTTTATGTTTCGCGCAAATACGAAAGCGGTTCGATTAAAGATGGCATCGCTCCTCAAGGACGAACGCCATGAAGTGTTTCGAAATGCTTATACTTTCGTATAAAAAAGTAGATCAGTTTATTAGAGGAATAATTTTACAGGTCAATTAAAATAATTTCACACGATCGTATAATGCATTTATCAAATTAGATATACCGCACGCTACTTGTAGCTTATATATAAATAAGTGTTTCTTTTACAGTTTTAAACGGGGCTTAGAAACAAAAACAATTTTATTTCCAGATATCACAAAATGGCTAAAAAGAACCACCCGAAACTGACCTACTCAGATGAGTCCTTCTAATATTGTTATAAAACACTACCATTTAATAAAAATTAATGATGACGAAGTAATAAGTCATACTTATATTTTTTAATTACTATATATATAATGACATGACTTTGCCCTTGAATATAATAACATTTAAGTAATTATAATCATGATTACACGCCGGACAGCGTACTTGAACTTTTCACTTATGACTATATTTTGACAGTCGCAATACGTGCGTCGTCAATACACTCCAAGGCATACATCAGAAATAAAGGTACATATAAATATCTCACGATCCCGTTCCTATACCCAAAACAAGTAGAGTTGTAACTTTATTAAACTTTTTTTTTCAAAAAGTTTCATTACACGCCGTGGTCACTGAATAAATTATACTTATTAATACACTCATTTTTTTTTGTTCTAATCGGATGTGTGTGTAATCTGTAGATGTTCCTGTAGGTAATATATACAAATTTGAGTACCTACAGTTTCTTATTTCAAAGTAGTTTTTCACAGGTTTAAAACAAATTATTTATAACTAGCTGATCCCATGAAGCTTTTGTCTCCTCATAAGTAATGAAATATTCTCTATATGCTTTAATTACAATTTTTATTAGTTGAATTTTGCTGACAAATCGATGAATAGTTGTAGTTAGCTACTTGATAAAGAATAAGAAATAACGTATTTAGGATTGAACTAGATGAAATGGCTTTTCGAAAGGAGAGAACAAGCGCGATAATACTTGTGTGGTCCTGTATAGTTCACAAGAACGAAGTCGCGGCCTGAAAGCTAGTTTATCATAAATTATATAGGTTGTGTGAATACCTTTAAATTGCGTGTATACTGTTTAATGATATGCGGGTAATTAACTTCCCAGTATAACAAATAGTACTTTATTAAAGAACACGATTATGATTATTTATATTTAGTTGTACGTTGGTTTCAACTTATGAAGCAACTTTAACTGGTCATTATTTACAGTTATGAGTGCATAAACTTAGTCAAGGTATATAATAGGTACTAGTACAAGGTTAGTATGTGATTCAATGCAAGTTACAGGTCATAAAGATGTTATAAATAAATTTTGTACTTGTGACGCCATGTAAGGGCATAGCAATACTGAGGGGCAACTATTACCATTTTAACTTATAAATATTATTGTTCTACTTAATTATTATTATTACATTTAATAGCTATTTTATTTATATATCCCATATATTTTAAACTCGATTAATACATTTACAATACAGTCATTTATTAATTCATTTAATAATTATTTTTTTTATTTACTTAATTTATAATCCTTAAACATAGTTAATACATTCATTCATATATACTTTTTTATTATTTAGGTATTTATTATTTAGGTTATTGATTCTTGTTAAGAAACTCTTCAGTATTGTACAAGTAACAACATTTACTAAAATTTTCTTTAGTTTAATGCAGCATTACTGATACAAATGTATATTAATTAGATCTTAAAGTCGTCTAAACGTTTGTCGAATTGGATGTTTAGTCACATGATCTGGTAATGACATGGTTTTTGTGAACTGCTATTAAAGCTGGTGAGTTTCTTGCTCGTTCTTCTTATCAGCCAAGAGACGTCCTGGACAAGTGGTAGGGTAAAAAATGTTGGTCGATTCAAAAGTACTTTTAAGAAGTCTATTTGAATAAAGGTTATTTTGACTTTGACGTGACATATTTATGTTAGTCGAACTCGTAAAGCTCATGTCCAATATTGAAAAATTTATGTACTCGTAATTTAAGTTTGATTAGACATATATTATTACATTTACTGACACTTAAAATACTTAAATCTAATCAAGTTAACATGATTAAGATTTATTTGATGTCACATCGATTCTTCTCCATTAGAGTAAGCTATTAATAGTTATTTAAGATACGAGTGCGGAAACTAAGGTTTTACGAATAAGGGCCAAATTGAAACACGAGCGTAGCGAGGGTCTTCATTGGCACGAATTCGAAAAACCTTTTACGCTCGAGTTTCTTACAACATTTCTAAATGCTTTTTGCGAGGATATAAAATAAATATATAGGTTAATAAAACTAAATATGTACTAAAGGTAAAAATTATTTGTTAAAATTAAACGTGATATTTAAACACGTTTTCGTGTTTCCTTGAAATACTTTTGCCTCTAAAGTTTGACATATTTTTATCAATCTTTTTTTAATTTCTTTGGTATTCGGCTAAGAAAAATTAAAAAAATACTTTTAAGCACGTGTGCAGTAAAGGATTTCAGTACATTTTTATTTAACACACGTTTAAAGATTCACTTTCGGTGTTTACAATGGATTTAAAAAATAGCTCTTTATGAGCAACTGCATTGAAAATAATATTGCAATGCAATATAACCTACATAGCTTAGTCGAGTGTGATGTGACGTCACTGGTGTTGACCGACTCATTATCGTATTAACGGATCGTTGACAAGGTCGCGGGGTCAATAGCGCTCATCTCGGCCGTTCACCCGATTACGTCACTGTTATTAGACCGATATAATGTGAGTTATGTCGCTCATCGTTCTTTCGTGTTGTGATCGCTTGAGGAAGTACCTACTGCGGAAACTACTCACGTAATGGATCATCATCATCATCACCAGACAATTAATAACCCCACTGTTTGGGCACAGGCCTTCCCTCTGGATGGAATCGAACAAGGAGAATGGGAGTCCAGTGCGGATTGGTGGATGTTAACGACATCAGAGTGGTAAGTGTAAGTTTAACGCTAACGCGTTCACTGGTGAGCGCGTTAAGAATTTGTATGGAGATTTGTAGTTCTCGGTAGTTACCGCTAGGGGCGCTGTACCGGATTCCATACTAAAATCTTAACGCACTCGCGATCGACAGTGAACGTAAACGTCACAGATTCAGCCGGGATCAACGACTAAACGTGCCGTGATTATTCACGGAGGAGCTCTTGATAATAATTTTTTGGTCACCCATCTTGTCACTCATCTGACAGGCCCTTGCAAAACTTGTTTAAAAACCGTATCGCAATATGAACGCGCTAACCACAAATTAATACTAGATATATCATACGCAATAGATCTAGCGAGTGAAGTCGCGGGAAAAGAGCTTTCACACATCACACATCTTTCTTGAAAAAGGCCCTCGACTATAAAACGACTCACGTATTGCACTTTGTCCAATTCAGAAACTGGCCGTAAATAAATGTGCATAACTATGGAAATTACGATAATAATATCCAGAGCCCGTAATTGAATTGAACCAGATTACATTCAGACGTAACATCGATACGTAACTATCTCCGAGGCTCTTTACTTAATTCCAATAAATATGTAACAAGCCATCACCGACAGGAATGTACACCTCGCATACTAATAATAGTGCACCACAGTTACAACTGTTGTGTGGGTTTTAAGTTGTATTAGATTATAAATTTCATTTCGTTATTACATAAAAATTCAACTCAGATCTACAGAACCATGATAATTGTATTCATGTTTTTCTATTTAAATATATGTTGATGGCAGAAAAGCATTAAGCGTATGATATTTCAGTTAAGGAGTATGAGCTCTTTACAGGGTCGTCGGCTTTTTTGGCTTCTGAAATCATCTTGTACGCAATAAATCGATCGTGAAAGATATGTGGTGACCTTCCGCGAGTTCTGTTGTATTTTTAAACTAGCTTTGGTTAACGTGGTTTGGTTAACCACGCCCTCGTGGTTCTGTATATTGATAAAAATCGCATAAAAATTCGTTATGTAGCTTAAAAGACATTTACAAAAATAAATATAATTTCGTAAACATTAATTTGTTGTTCCAAAAACCTCACTGGATACAAATAAATTACAAAACTATTTTATTTAAAAATCAATAGAATAGAAAAAAAACTGTCTGATATGAATCTTACAAACAATTATATTTTAATATGCCGACTGACCTAAATTTTATACGGCTCTCGCGCAACTTAAACGGAGAAAGTCTTTTAAAAATATAAGTACGTTATTACGTCAAATTATATCAAATGAATATAATGGCCGGGCCCGTATTAGGCGATTGTGTTTGCAACGAATAATAATAATCTTATAAAGTAAGTATTACGTATGATTTTATAGTGAGACACTCGTGAAAATATACAAATCGATGTCTCGAGGAAGAAATGTCGTTAAAATCAAAATTGTAACAAAGGAAAACGCACATAGGTAAAAAAGTTTAGGATACAAAAAATATGAGCTGTAAACATATATTTTCTTTAAACTTTAGATCGATTTTTGGTGTCTATTATTACCTACGAATATCCCCATTGCTAGAATAAATATAAAGCATAT